TGTGATCCCGTTCATCAAATGACAACACATGTCTATGGTCAGGAAACATAACCATCTTTGATTAACGAGCTAGTCAAGTAGAGGCATACTAGGGCCACTTTGTTTTGTGTATGTATTCACACATGTACTAAGTTTCCGGTTAATAAAATTCTAGCATGAATAATAAACATTAATCATGATATAAGGAAATATAAATAACAAATTTATTATTGCCTCTAGGGCATATTACCTTCATTATCGTCAGTGCTCATGGAAACAACGGATGGAGGACGACATGGGCTTGGACGTCGGGCGCCGCTGCCATAGGATAGGTTTAGGGTCGGGTCGGTTTTTTGTTCGAAATGTTCGAAATGTACGTCGTGTTTGTATGAAATCCGTCATGTTTATACGAAATCCGGCCGTGTTTTCACGAATTTCCTCCGGTTTGTTGAAAAGGAGTTTGAAGTGTATGCAGCTACGGTTGGATGGTGGCCTCCCGTATCCGTGTCCGCAAATTAGCTCCCCCTGTCCGCGGACGGATGCGGGAGGAAATTTGTGGGTTACCGTTGAAGATGCTCTTACTAGGGGACTGAGAAGATCTAGTTAGAATATGTGTCGCAACATTCGACAAACGATTTACATGAAGTGAACAGACGGAAAGAACGACGCCAACTCCTTGATATCAACAATGATGAGCCCCACTGGCGAGCGATCAATCGCCAAAACATTGGTTCTCTGAATAACGGACAAACAGTTTGACCGGAAAACAACCCTCAGAAAACTTTGCTAGCGGGTGAGAGCCACCACACATCGTAGTGCCGGTGCTTCAGCTAATTCTAGGGCACTAACCTTGTCGGCATGCTAGCGGCAAGCCAACAAGCAATCTCCGATGTGATTTTCCCATCCGTCGAGACTCCTTAAAAAGTGCAGCATCCACATTGACCGTCACTACATCTGCCGGCGACGAAACCCATTTAGCAGGAGATACCGGGATATCACGCCTTGAAACAATTGTAGTCCTACCACATTCTGCACAATGAAGTCACCAAAAACTAAAGCTTTCTCAGGCACTCTACGAGGATGCATCCTAAAATCATTGTTTCTTGCAACATTTCAGGTCTCTTAAATGTGTCAAATTATTACTTCCTCCGTTCCTAAATATTTGTCTTCTAGAGACTTCAACAAGTGAGAGATGCATCCTAAAATCGTTGTTTCTTGCAACATTTCAAGTCTCTTAAATGTGTCAAATTATTACTACCAAATATTTATATGTGGTAGTCATGGCTTTGAGAGAGGTCGCTCTCTTAATGAAATGGAATATCCATTGCTTGGCACGAATAAAACTTTTACGACGTAGATGGAAGCCTAAATTCCGGTTCAGAAGGTTTGCTAGACGCGTCAAAGAAATGAAATGGTCGGCGAATTTGGACGTGCTTTACACAGCTCAAACCGGTCGCGGCCCGGAATGAAAAGTCGTCTCACCAATGGGCAGGAGAAAAATACATCTACAGTAACTGAACTTGACTCTAGGGTTCACTTTGGTCACTGTATTCACGAAATCGCAAGTTACGGTCACCGGGCTCGCTGAACCGGGTCATTATACGGTAACCCATACCGTTTCGGCTCGTATCGGCCCGATTTGACCAGAAAACCGCTTTGACTCGCTAGCTGGACATGACACGTCGACAGAAATTAAAGAAGCGAGCAGCGGCCGAGCTATTTTGCATCCCCCCCTGTTCGATCGAGACGCTTCACCTTTTCATCGACGCCTCCGAGGCAGAGGAGAAGAGAAAGGAAAGGGGAGGCAATCGCGGTGCTGATCGGCTAGGGTTTCGTTGCCACCGGCAGAGGTATCCACCGACGGAGCGACGACAGCCAGAGGGGTCGTCGACGACTTGAACCATGGCGCCTCGTCGCCGAGCAGAAGGAGACCCACCACCCGTGTATGGTGAGCCCCTGTTTCCTTCCTGAACCTCTGTAAAACCCCCCTTTTCTCTCTGAACCTAATCGATTTGAGGTCGATTAGGTGGTTGCACGCTCTTATTTGCCTTGAGATTTTGACGTTACTACTAGGGTTTTCGTTCTGCTATGGATTTGAGGTAGTTAATCTAGGGTTTTATGTAAATCTGCAGACGAAATTGACTACTTATCAAACTTCAGTCTTTGCATCAATTTTGGTGGTAACTTCCTTAGAGTTGGTAAAAATCGTGCATATGTCAATGGAGAAAACATGTGGTATGATTATGTGGAGGGGGATACACTTACTGTGGAGAAGTTAGAAGATCTGGTAGAAGAATTGGGCTATGAAGTGAAGGGAAGATTGCAAATGTATTACTGCATGCCTTGTAAACCAATGACTGAAGGTGGTCTTGTGAAGATAACTTGCAATGATAACTGTCTTAACATGAGGGCACATGTAACATTTGGGCACAAGTTTTTGCAAATGTATCTTGATCATGATGAGAGCTTCAGGCAGTTTGACTGGGATGATGTGATAGAGTTTCCTGTAGCAGACCTGCCTACTGTTATTAGTCCTATCAAACCAATTCAGATCATTAAGGAGGAAGCACTAGAGAAGCATAACCAGAAGATTTAGCAGGATTTATTGGACAGGAAAATTAAGGAGGACGCAGTGCAAAATATGAAGTGTAAGTTTGTCACTCATGTCACCATTGCAGATGATGCAGACCTAGCAGAAGAAGAAGCTACAGGTGAAGCTTCAAAAGAAGCACTTGTAGAGCAAGCAACAGAAGAAGCAGTTGCAGAGCAAGCAGTAGGGAAGAACTATGCACCAGAAGTTGCAGAGCAAGAAACAAAAGAAGTAGATGCACAACAAGCAGCAGAAGAAGCAATTGCAGATGAGGAGGAAGATGTGGAGCAGGGTGAAGAGGATGGCTCTGTTGCATATGATAGTGAAGGGGAAGTTTCTGATGCTGAAGTAAATGGGAGTGAACAAGGATCAGATTATGCTGATGAGATTGTAGATAGTGATTATGATGTCAGTGATTTAGATGATGATCTTAAAGAGGACACAGTGGAGGAGCCTACTGATGTTCATATTAGAGCAAAGCCAGACCCTGTACAAGGATCAGATGAAGAAGACCTTGAGCTCCCATATTCTGATGATGAAGCAGCACTACAAAAAAATACACTTCCGTGATGATACGTGTTTGTCACAGTACATCGCATTTTTGTCATGCATGTACATCCATGACAAATTTATGACAGAATCAAGATAGTCATACCTGTGCTGTCGTAGAAGTGTTCCATGACATTACCAAAATTATCATCACGGAAGTGTCCACTTCCATGACGATAAATCGCGCGTCACAGAAGTGCTTTCGTCAAGGGTGACCGACACGTGGCATCCACCGTAACGGAACACCGTTAAGCTATCGGGTCGGGTTTTGGATCCGATAACCCGTTAACAGCCCCGACCAATGGGAAATTTTCACGTGTAAAATTCTGATTGGCCGAAGGGAACACCTGTCAGCTCGTCAGTGGGCCAGATGTCGCCCGTCCATTGGAGGAGACATGCATATGGTACGTTAACACGTGGCTGGGCCCAACAGAGGCCCATATAGGTTAAAAAGGCCGGCCCAGTCAAAGGCCCGTAGAACTTAATCAGGTACTAGTGGAGTAAACGATAGGGAGTATGAGAAAATTAAACAACAGTTGAGGATAAAGGCTTTAGAAGGACTGACTTACATTAACAGTTAACACCTTGGGGTGCGCCTGGAGGAGTCCTACTCCCACCGCGAGTAGGACTCCCCCCTCTTGCCTTGTTGGAGAAGGAAGGGGGAAGGGGGAAAGAGGAAAGGGGGGCGCCGCCCCCCCCCTTCCTTGTCCTATTTGGACTAGGGGGGGAGGGGGTGTGCGGCCTGCCCTGGCC